ATATAAGCACGATGCGAATACACAATTTGAGGAGACAGTAGATGGTGGTACTGAGTACAGTAGGAACAGAGGGGTCAAGAACAGAACCAGTTAAATAAAGGCTGTTCTAAATAATAAGGTTTTGAGTCTGGATTTAAAGGAGTTTAAAGAAGGTGACTCAATTATATCCTTGGGAAGAGAGTTCCAGAGCTTGGGGGCATAACAGGAGAACGCCCTGTCACCCAGAGAGTGTAGACGGACTGGGGGACAGATAGGAGACCAGAATTAGAAGAACGAAGATGGCAAGATTGGTGAGTAGGATGATAACTCAGACAGGTACTGAGATGCAAAGCGAGCAGGAGGATTTTTAAGTCAACACAAAACATGACAGGAAGCCAGTGCAAGGACTCCAGTATAGCAGTAACGTGAACACTTGTACTAGACTTGGTCAGGATCCTGGCTGCCAAATTTTGGATATACTGGAGTTTGTTCAATGTGGACTTAGAAACCCCAGAGAGTAGAGCGTTACATTAGTCAATTCGGGAGCAGCCAAAACTTTTCAGCCAGTGATAACATGGGGCGTAGTCGTGGTTTTCGAGGTGAAAGAAAGATGTTTTGACAACATACCACATATGTTGGTTGAATGTCAAACATCATCCCCAAAGTTTTACAATTTAGACTGAAGCTCAATTACAGGACCATCTACAGATAGAGTTACAGCAATGGTTTTACAAACTTGATGGGTGGTGCCAATAAGCATGACTTAATTCAGTCTTGTCACAGTTAAGATAAAAACATTTTGAGTCATCCAAGTTTTTATATATTTTATAATTTTATAAGAGGGGTTAATACAGACACTGACTAGACACTTCAGCACATTAACACTGCACTGAGAGAGAGAGGGGTAAATACAGACACACTGACTAGACACTTCAGCACATTAACACTGCACTGAGAGAGAGAGGGGTTAATACAGACACACTGACTAGACACTACAGTACTTTAATAGTGTAGTGGGGGCGGGGTGAATACAGACAAACTTACTGGATTCATACAGACAAAAACCCTGGAGAACTGAGATATAATTAGTATACATATAAAAATCTAAACCAAAACAAGTTAAATACAATATATGTAAACCGTGTTTCCTAATGACGTCGGATTACACACTGATTCAGTGAAACAATTGTTGAATCTGAATGAGGTGTTTTCAGCACCGTAACCGGACAAAATAGTGCAGTTTTCAGTAAAGAATCGCGTTGCTACATCACACAAGTCTTCCCCACTTCACTCTGCAATCTCTCCATCTCTCCACTATATTCTCACATCTTTCGGAAAGTTTTTTAAAGACAGTTCGATAGTTTGTTAGAACGCGTACTGATAATGAGAATGTTTACTCTTGTGAGATGTTTTCTTTAAAATGAAGCGTGTTTTTTAAATCTCACGAGGAAGTTAAAAATACTGGTTTTAAACGCACTCATACAAGTCACCACACTGACCTGACAGCTCCAGTTTCGTGTCCATTTCTTCTTTTATTTCTGCAGTGACTTCACGTGGAAGCGCCTGGGTACCCTGATCTCCTCCTGCTCCCGACTCCTTCTCCCACAGCTGCAATCTCCACTTCAGGCTCTCGTTTTCCTTCTTCAGCTGCGCCATTTCACTCCCGACACTGTCCT